TTCCTTCCTCAACCTTCAAAGGTTGTTTCCTTAAATTACTCTGATTTGTAAACTTCTTCCTAATATAATTCTGTTTAAGAATCTGACTCCCCTTATTTCATGTCAGATTACTTAAATCGAGTATGTAAAGGTGTATTTTTGTTTGCAACGTATTTTCTGGTAGGTATTTAATTTTAGCTTTTTAAATAACTGATCAGTAGTCATTATTCTCTCTGACTTGAGTAACGTGTTGTTTTGTCTTTAGCCCTGTGGAGGAGGACAGAGATACAAAGCTAATCTCAAAAGACGAGAAGGGTATGTATCCTTAAACAACGAACCTTGGCATTTATGTCAGTGAAGCTCCTTTTTGTTGGATGGGGCCTTTTGTTGTGAAAGCTTTGAAGTCTCTACGGTTCTTAAATTTCATTATTTTCTTGTTTTCCTGGATTTTTAAAGATGCAGTTATGCCAAAACGTTCTTCTCTTTGATACATTTTGCAAGGCTTTGCGTTGTGCCCCTTCTGTTTGTGTCTTGATCTCCAAAGGTAGGCGCTGATCTGTGACAAATATGTCCTTCATGGCTCTGAGGATACCAGCAGCTGTTAGTGAGTCCAAAGCCTTTTGTGATTGCTTTCCTTGTGGTTCTTTACACCATCTCCTGTTACGTGAAAATGACACACAGTCTTGTATTCACGTACTTAAGCATCACAAATGCTCCAAGTTTCATGTCTTCCAGTTGGATCGATGGCTCTTAAATCTTCATCTGCTCAGATCCTGTTTCCAGTGCCAATATGCATGATAAGCAGGACGGGCATTTCTAGATGAGCAGTGCCACAGGAGGCCTTGCCTGCTCCTTCTTCTCATTGTGCTTCTTCCTTTTAATGCACGTTCTGCTGAGCCTTTACTTCTCTTTCCTCTTTTCTGTTCTCTTACCACTCCAAGGCAGAAAGCTTAGAACTGCCTTGCGTGCAGCAGAGAGTTCAAAGCAGTGAGTGCTGAAGTCCCAGCAGTTCTGTAATTGGCAAGAAGTTCATTAGGAGATCTGTCTGCTGATAGGAAAGGAAGGATTTGCACGGCTTTAGGTTTTGCAGCACAGACTGAACTCGTCATCAACTGCTTCCACCCAGATTCTGGGTTATGCCTGTCTGTGCCAGCGACCAGACCTCGCCATTAGCTCCATCCACATCTGTTCACCTTTCATCCGTATTTTTACTCTTATTTCAGGACATTTAAAGGACCGTTTAACAGGTTCTATTATTTACCCAGAGTCTGCAGCACGTTTTGGGCCGTGTCATCTTTCTTCTAAGAGATTGTTACAAATCCCTGCCCACTTTCACATGAGCTTGTACAAATGTGACAGCGTTTCCTGCAGAGCTCGTGTTTGCAGCAGGAAGGTGGCAGCTCTCACATGAAGAAGTAAGAAAGAGAAAGATACCTGAGTAAGGAGAGCATTTCAGATTGCCTTTGAAAGATGCATCTCCCCATTGATGACAGTTCTGAGAAATTCCTTCCATCACCAAAAAGGTGTTTTAGAAGCAGATGGATGTAGGGAGACCTGCTGCACTCCAGTCTCAGAAGCCTGTGGGACTGAATGGTCTGAAGAGCAATACAGAGCTCCTAAAGAGATTTCAGAGGAGGCTGGGATGGTGTCCTGGTGTGAGCTCCATGCAAAAAGGCAACCATCAGAACTTGCATAAATCAGACTGTTTCAAAAAGGGATAAAGGGATAAAAAACCCTGTTTGTTTGGTTTTTCTCTAGCACAGTTACCAGTAACAGAAGTTCAACCAGGAATCAGTGAGATTACAGAGGAGCTGGCCAGGCTTGCTGGTTGCTCCTTAGAGAGATGAGCACCATACAATCACTCAGCAATAACAGATGTTTGCAGGGAGACATCATCTCTCCCTGTCAGAGATAACATCTGTGAGCATTCAGCTTGAACCTTTCTCAATCTCTGGACCACGAGTTCTCAGACTTGACAATGATGCAACCACTTAGCAAACCAGTTCAGATGTGCTGGGTGGGTGTTCTGTAGTTCCTGCATAGCTGAATGCTGACCCTTTTCTGACTGCAGTAACTGAGGTCGTAGCTCAACTGTTCACACCCTGAACATGAGCAACATGCAGGCAGGCACTTAGGAAGATATGTTCTTGTTTTTATGGTGAATGTTTTTCCTTGAGGTGCGGTTAATCTGCATCCAGTTCTGATTCCTTAGGAATCGAGGAGACAAGGGCAAGACTTGAGTGCCTGTGGGTGCTGACTCGGTTCCCACAGCCCTCGCAGGTCTTCAGTCTTTTCCTGTAAGTTCCAACTTGCTGGGGTGGATCCAGACACGTTCTGCAGGGCCTCAGTTACTTCATCTCTGGAGTTTCTGCCTTGAGGAATGATGGAGGGAATAGCATCCCTCTGTTGCACGTGCCAGAGCTTGTTGCTCCATCTTAGGAGAGTTTGGACTCCTCGTTGCCTTCAGGAATACGAGCTGTTGGGAGGTGAAGTTTATGCTTTGCTTTGTGATTTGAAGAATGGGATTTGTGGAACTGTTCTTTTTTAAATATGGGAACAGTAGAACTAATCAGGATTCGGGCTGTGCTTTTGTTTGTGTTCCTAATTAGGTCGCGCTGCTGGCGGTTCTGGGAGAAACTTCTGGGTGAGTGGACTTGCTTCCACCACCAGAGCTACAGACTTAAAGAATCTGTTTAGCAAATATGGGAAGGTAAGGCTGGTTTGTTTGTTTATATTCCCCTCAGCATAAACTGTAAGTCTTGGTGTGCTTCTGTTGCTGAAAATGTCGGTGGGATTGTAGAGGGAAGAAAAACCTGTGTGAGTTCATGGCAAATGGCTGCAGTTTTGTTTTATCTCTTCCAAACAAAAACAAAATTCCTTTTTCAGTCCTTATACAAACAGACAGCGACTGCTTACATACCCCTCTGTGTCCTGTGGTGGTGCCTTTACTCATTGGAACCCACAGTAAGCAGTGAATGCTGCTTATTAAATGTGTTCCTGGGACAAAGTAGGATAATGCAGTATTTGATAATGTTGTTTATGGGCATACGTGAGGAATTCCTCAGTACCTGAAGGTTTTCCTTTGTCTGAAGTGGATGACTGCTTTAAAATGCGCTCACTTGGGCACTGTTATTTTCTACTGCATTTGTTATGAATTCACTCCATCTCAGCTGCGAAATGGGAAGAACTAGTTGGACAGAGCACTGCTATCAGAGCTGATGGCATTTCTTGCACGGAGCTGATTCCTAAGGATTTCTCTCAGGCCTCTGAAGCCCATTTAAAGATGTCTTTCTCAGCAGGTTGTAGTTAGAGAAGTCTCTGCTGGTAATGCCTTACTGAAGGTTTAACTGAGAAAACATTGCAGAGTGTGAGCTGTGACCTGACAGTAAGCACTGCAATGGCTTCAGTGTCACAGCATCGGGTTTGACGGTCAGAAGAGTAACAGAAGCTTCTTTCCCCATGTCAGTTAAAAAAAACAATGCTGCCTTTCCATTTATTTGTTCAGAATTCCAGCTGGTGAGCTGGAATGCATTGATCATAGAGATACCACAACGGGTTCAACGTGTAAGGAAAAAATAAGCTCACCTCACGTTTGCAGCTGCTTAGCTGCCACAACGCCGCGTGCTCATGTAAATCAAATTACTGTCATTTGCTACAAAGCACTGGTGGAGGTTGAAGCTCCCAAGCAGTTGGTGCCCATCTGCTAAATGAATCAGGAGCTCAGAAGTACGTTCCGTGCTCAGCTCCGCTTTAACGCGATGCCTCTGTGCACACACTGGTGACAGCAGTGCCATTTATAAAGCAATGTTCTAAGCAGGCTTTTTCAAGTTGCTTTTGGGGGAAACTCCTCTTTCCTAAGCAGAGCTACGGATGTCACTCTGTCATCTCTGTGCTGACATGACGACATCATTATGAGCAGCAGCAGCGTGCCCTGGCTTGCAGCAGGGATGCTCTGAGTGTTCCTTGCTGGTAGGGCTGTGCCCTCATTGCTGTGAGTGTAACGTGTGCTTTCTTTGGGAAAGGTGGTCGGTGCAAAGGTGGTCACCAATGCCCGCAGCCCCGGCGCGCGCTGCTACGGCTTCGTCACCATGTCTACAGCTGAGGAAGCCACAAAGTGCATTACTCACCTGCACAAAACGGAGCTGCACGGGAAGATCATTTCTGTGGAAAAAGTGAGTATTGAGCCTCTAAGATTTGTCGCCGCCATCGAGTTGTGCGCGTAATTGAAACCATGATCTCAGCTGATGTGCAAAATAAATTTCAGGCAAAAAATGAACCTGCTGGGAAGAAACCGACTGAAAAAAAGGAGAACGAGTCGAAGAAAGAAACAGCCAGCGAGAGGTACTGCCTTCAGCATCCCCTGCCCTGAGGTGTTGCAGTTCTGTGTGTTGATTTGTCAGGAGAAGCTGTTAAACAGAACTTTTATGACAAACATCCAGAAAGTGAAAGTGTGTGTTTGTAACTACCTCACCTCAGCCAATCAAAACTCTGTTAGTTTAATTCTCTCTTCCTGAATATCAATCTAATCTATATCAACATCTGCCTGTAGGCCTAGCAGTAGTAAAAGGGATGAGAAATGTGACCAGAAAGACGACTCCAAAAAGACTGAAGACAGAGATGAAAAAGAAAGGAAAGAGAAGGATGAACAGAAGTCTGCTTCATCGGATCAGCCTAAATCTTCCAAGTCAGGTAACATGGCTGTTCTTCATTTCACAGTCAATCTCTCATAGGATCATAGAATCCTAGAATGGCCTGGGCTGCAAAGCAGCACAACGCTCATCAGCTCCAACCCCTGCTGTGTGCAGGTCACCAACCAGCAGCCCAGGCTGCCCAGAGCCACATCCAGCCTGGCCTTGAATGCCTGCAGGGCTGGGGCATCCACAGCCTCCTTGGGCAACCTGTGCCAGTGCCTCACCACCCTCTGGGTGAAAAACTTCCTCCTCATATCCAACCTAAACCTCCCCTGTCTCAGTTTAAAGCCATTCCCCTTGTCCTGTCACTATCCAAGAGTGGATGGTCTTGGGGGAGCACTGACATTGTGTCAGCCTTAATGGTGACTCTTGGGATAGTGAAGAAATGCATTTTGAGCAGGGGTTTAAGGACCTGTTTTAAATTGTAGAGGAGGTGACTCTGTGCACAGTGATGAGCTGCACGTGTTGTGTAGTGCTGTTATTTCTTACACCTCTTTCTGCTCAACTTCTGATTTGTACAGGGAGTAAAGGAACAGAGAGAACGGTGGTAATGGATAAATCCAAAGGAGAACCTGTTATCAGTGTGAAAACATCAACTACATCAAAAGACAGAGTGAGTCTGTTTGGGATGCATGGTACATGGGTTTTCCTTAGAAACAGAGCAGGAATCCCACTAAGTTGCACGTGCCCTATGTTTGTCCTGCTGATCAGCCTAATTAGGGTTTCTGTAATGCAGATTTAGCTCTTAATTAGTCAAATATTTTTCATATTGCTGATAACATATTCAGCAGTGAAATCTTGCCAAACTCAACGTGGGAAGGAAAGGTCTTCTGTTATTATGTTGTGGGTCTGCAATGTTTAAAAAAGAAAAAGCAACAGCAAAATGTGGGGGCAGAGCTTTGAGATGTGTGCGAATGGAAGCAGAGCACTGCGCAGCGCTGGGCCTTTTGTAAATGCACTCTGCTGAGTTTCTGTCCTGTGTCAAATGCAGAGTGTTAAGAGCCAGGACCGCAAATCGGAGAGCAGGGAGAGGCAAGGCATCGTGCCCTTCGACAAGATCAAGGCTCAGAGGAAGATGAGGGAGGCCGAGCAGCGCCGGTAAGAGCAGCAGTTTTCAGCTTGGCTGAAATCCTTTTTCTTCCTAGGAGCGGTGCAGTCTTCTTTTAATGAAAATGACCAAGGGGGAAAATATGTGTTTGATACTTTAGTTGAGTAGAAGCAATGAGCTTTGAGGCATTTGGATTCAACTTCTGTCCGTATCGGATTATTTCCCCCCGCGGGTGGTGCGATGGGAGCAGTGAAGTCACAGTACATACATTGCTGTGATATAACTGAGGAGCTCAACAAATCTGCAGTCACTGTGGTTTTATGTTTTTAATAATTTTTTTTTTTCCTTTTTAACTTCCTTTGTTGAAATACAAACCTGTAACCTTTCATCCTGCTAAAACAGCACCCGTGAGCGTCGGGAGAGGCAGCAGCACCTGCAGACCATCCGGGAGCGCGAGGAAAGGGAGAGGCTGGAGATCGCTCGGGAGAGACTGGAAATTGAAAGGCAGCGGCTGGAGCGAGAGCGGATGGAGAGAGAGAGACTGGAGAGAGAGAGGATGCACATCGAGCACGAAAGGAGGAGGGAACAGGACCGCATCCAGCGGGAAAGGGAGGAGCTGCGGCGGCAGCACGAGCAGCTGCGCTACGAGCAGGAACGCCGCTCTGCCATGAGAAGGCCGTATGATATTGATGGCAGGTAAAGGCACTGAGGGACAGGAGGGCGCCGGGCTGCCAGGCTGTGGCTCCAGCCTGCCCTCAGAGAGCTGTGTGTGTGTCTGCTCAGAGCTGCGCTCGCTGCTTGGCCTGAACTGACAGTGTGTAAAACCTCAGCTGTGCTCCTGTGTCTGAGTTCTGTTCCTGCTTCTGAGCTTTGTTACACGCGTTTTTGATTTGCACAGCGTGAGGGGAGGGGACAACTATCAAAAGTCACCAACTGGGTTAAAACAGGCATATTCTCTCTGTCAGGAGGGACGATCCATACTGGCCTGAAGCGAAGCGGATGGCGATGAACGATCGCTACCATTCTGACTTCGGCCGCCAGGACCGCTTCCACGACTTCGACCACAGGGATCGTGGCCGGTACCAAGACCACTCACTGGACAGGTGGGTGTTAGCTGTGCTGTGCTGTCTGAAATCAGAGGCATGGAGTGTCACATTTTGCTGCCTTTTCTTTACTGGGTGTTTCTTCTGCACTTCCTTCTTTAAGCATGATTTAGTAGCTGTGAAGATTCTCTCGTGAAACCAAAGAGAAATGTTCTGTGCCACGAGTGAAGCATTTGTTAAGCACCTGCTCGGTGTGCTGGTGCTGCTGTTTTGCAATTTGAAGGCTTCTGGGGAAAAAAACAGCTTTTGAAATAGTATTGTAGCACCTTAATGGAGGATGTGGCTTCATGCTTCTGGGCTAGCTAGGTTTTCTAGGAATCTCAAGTGTTGTGGCTTCCTGTGTTCCTACCCCATTTGTAGGCAATGCTGGCAGCACATGGAAACAGGATTTTCTATCTGTGATGTGTAGATACTGTTAAAACTGCAGTGTTTTCCAACCACAGTTTGATTTTAATTGTCTGCCTGTAGGAGAGATGGATCGAGGACAATGATGGGAGATCGCGACGGACAAGTGAGTTGCTTTTTATAGATCTGTAGAACTATCTCAACTCTTACAACTTGGTTTGCTGTAGTTTCAGATTAAGATGATAGTGCTAGAAGTATCTATCAGTGACAGGATTGCCTTGTTTTTGACTTGCTATAGAACTCAGGTACACAGCAAACAAAAAAGCGCGTCAGAGAGGTGGGTGATGAGAGGTCGTTCAGAGAGGGCACAAATACCACAAAATGAACTCTGTGAGGTGGCAGAGCTCAGTGGGTTGGTGTGTTCCTGAGAGGCAGGCAGTGAGAGGTGGCTCTTACTGATGGCTGAGCTGTGGGATTGCGAGAGTCCCAGACAGGATTGGGCAGAGAGGAATGTGGTGAAGTTACCAGGAGGAAATAAGGGCTCACGGATGTGCTTGGCCCTGCAGCATTACCCAGACGAGCGCCACGGGGGACCTGAGCGCCACTCCCGGGACTCCCGGGAGAGCTGGGGCAGCTACGGCTCTGACAGGAGGATGAGTGAGAGCAGAGGGATCCCGCCGCCCTCACGGTCAGTGCTCTGAGCTGCGGCACTTCTTGTGCAGCTGCTGAATGCTGTAGATGCGCTTCTTGCCGCGGTTCTTTTCCACAGCCTCCCTCCTCGCTCTCTGCCCGGTGCTCTGCACAAGAGCAGCTCTTCCAGCTCGCTCCTTGCAGCAGTGCTGCTGTCCCGCCGGGTTCTTGCTGTCGTGCAGAAGTAACTCGGGCTCTTCCTGCAGAGATGGCCGCGACTGGGGGGAGCACGGGAGGAAATTTGAAGGGCACCAAGAGCGTTCGTGGCAGAGCAGCGTGGATGGAGGGATGATGGGACGGGATCACGAGAGATGGCAAGGTAACGCTCCCGTGGGGCCTGCTGGGACACAAAGCAAAACGAGCCCCGTGGGTATGAAGGAATCATTTCCTCTCTTTTGTAGGTGGAGGTAGAGGGAGACCTGGCCACGTGATGCACCGTGGAGGCATGTCAGGGTAAGGAGCTTAAAAAGAGCAAAGCGTTTCTTCGTCTTCCATTTCCTGTCCTTTCTGGGTGAGTCCCTTGCATTTAAATGAGCCAGAGAAGCATTTGTAGGGGATTGATCAGTTCTGCATTTTGTTAGTGAAACGTCAAGGGATGACAGAATATTCCTGTGGTTCATAACGTAGCACATCCTTTATTTCAACCCGACTACTGGAGTCACAAGAAAACAAACCAAACCCATCTGCCTCACTTTGCAGGCGAGGAGGGTTCATGCAAGGCGGGAACCAAAGTCAGATGATGCACGGAGGAGGGATGCAAGGAGAGGGATTTGCTGGCCAGGAAAGAGCAAGCAGACCCAACGACCCCCGGTTCAACCGTCGCTACTGAATGTTTTAATTTTTAATGCTACGTGGCAACTGAAATTGATTTGTCACCCGGGGTTACCGTTCCTTGGAGCTCATGGGTCACTGTAAGTGTAATTTTTTTTAAGCTGCTGCCATATTACGTCACTCAATACAATGTGAACTCATTCGTTTTGTAATGTGTTGTTCATATCTCATTTAAAAATGTTTGTTAATGAAGCATTCCATTTTCCACAAATAAAAAACAGTTTACAGTTAACGGCTTCACTCGTCCCTGGGACACCGATGTGTTTGGCCACAGCTGAAGCACAGAACGTTCTACCCCAGCTGCAATACCCCAGTGCCTCTGCACTTTCACTAGCAGCGTGCTCCCATGCCACATTACTTTCAGTCTTAATTAAACACTGCAATCTAATTTTTTTTCATGCTGGTGATGATGCTAGGTAAAGTTTGGACAAAGCGAGGGCGAGGGGTGAAGGATCTTTTTCTCTTCTTTCACGGTGGGAGCTACGCCTGCTTGGCCTCTGCTACATCAAGGCAGTCCAAAGCTGCTCCAATTCCAAGACCTACATTTCCCCAGCAATCCTTGACGGAGATGAGCAATGGCTCCTAGCTGTGCTTGGGTACCTTTGGCTGTTCTTAAAAGTGCAGTCACCACAGCTGCAGACAGAGGTTCTCCCTCAGCACAGAACTGTCGCTCTGCACGCGAGCCACCTACCGCTAGGGAGACACGAAGCAGTGGGTGCAGTTTGCGTGCCAAAAGCAACCCCAGCCAAACAGGAGCTTCCAAAGTCCTTTATTGTAGCCCTCGCTTGGCTGAGCTGCCCTCCAGCAGGACCAGCACAGGACGGACAGAAGCGCAGAGCTGCGCCCAGAGGACGGGCTCACTTCACCAGGTCCTTCACGTACTTCCAGCCCTCCGCCGTGTACTCGCAGGCCCTGCTGGGAGCCACAGACAGGGCAGACATCACTGTGTGCACCCCTGCGAGGAAAGAGGAGAGTTATCCCCAGAAAAGCATCCCAATCTATGGCTACTCAGCACCGTGGATCTCTTCAAAGACAGAGGAAAATGCAGATTGCTGTCATGGAGCTTGAGCTCGAGTACAGCCTCATGCTGTCCCAGCAGCACCAGTCAAAGTTCAGATGACCACAACAAACTGCAGCTGGGAGAATTCAATTTCATTTCTGGTTTTGCTGCAGACCCCAGGTGACGTCACAGGAAGGGGGGCTGTTTCCCCACAGCTCTGTGAAGGTTATTTGCTGTTATTTATAAGAACTATAAATCCTCATCATATTTATCACATGTTTGGCCTTCAAACATCCCTAACTGCCCAGCAATTATGGGAAAGCTCCTGTGAAAAACCAGAGGGTGAGTTCAGGCACACTCATGTGAGAACAGTTCTGTGGCCATTCTACTTGGATTTCACACTTGAAAATGAAGTGAACTGCCCACAGTCACTGCCTGCTCGCGGTGGAACCTGGAGGAACTCTGCTCCCAGATCCAGAGCTCCTCCCACACCATCACTCTTACAGGGCAGTGCTGAGACACAACCAATATGAGATGATCTTTTGAGTTCCTTTTCAACCCAGGCCGTTCTATGATTCTTTGACAAGCTGATCACTTGTCAAACTCATCAAACCCTCCCCACAACTACATGAAAAGCGACTTTACCTTTATTCCAGGAATCAGAGGGGGAAAAGTCCAAACTTGGAGCGGGCGGGAGCTGGAAAGAGAAAGAAATCAGCAGTGGGGTGTCAGTGGGACAGGGCCGCCTCACCTGCAGGGGCTTTGGGACTCACATCTCAAAAGCATTTTGTGCTCCCTTCCCTAAGCCTCAAAGAGCATCAGCCATTGCCCTGAGATCTTGGCTGAGGGCTTGGCTCTTTTCTGCAGCACACAGCAGAAGGGAAGTGCTTCACACTGAGGCGCTGCTGGCAGCTATAGGTTTGTTATCATAGACTCCAATATGGAAAAGACTCTTTGGCTCCTGAAGATTTTAAACACTTCAAGGATCTCTCCAGGCAATCTGAATTCAGCCTGACAAACCAGGAGAATCTTGGCCTGAACTTTTAAGCCCAAAGAACAGCCTAGAACTATTACTACGCACTGAAATCTCCCCTCAGAACAAACCTGCAGTCCCCTCCTTGACCTGCCTGGGCTCATTGCCTCTTTCTTTCCAAGTAAGACCTGGGAATTCTCCCCACTATGCTCTGTAAGTCATCCTCCTTCTGTTTCAACCCTCCTCAAAGAACCCTCAATGCAAAGTTCAGGTTCAACAGCAAAACTGCCAATGTCACTGGAACCTGAACCATCGTCCCAGTGTGTCCTGCTCCTCAGTATCTGCTGCGCTCATCTGTGCACCCTCACCTCCCATCCTCACCTCCCATCCTCACCTCCCATCCTCACCT